AATACCTGCATAGGTATTGAAAGAGCTAGCCGTGGAGTTGGCGGTACCCCTGTACTTACTCTTCCGAGTTTCTCTTAATATTGGGCAAGTGTCACCCGATTGGAAGGCAGCGTCGATCTCATCCATTCACAAAAGTGGAAGTCGGGCGACCGCAAATAGCTAGAGACCGTTCAGCCTCCCCTTAATATCCTGCAAGCTCATGGAACGCATAGTCAAACGCGAGCTGATGCACTTTTTACAGCAACATCAACTTCTTTCTGACAAGCAGTACGGATTCCGCAGAGGAAGGTCCTGCTTAACCAATCTGCTCTATTGTCTAGAACAATGAATCCGAGCGCTCGATGAAGGGAATACGGTGCATAAATTCTTCATATACTTCAAGAAGGCCCTTGACACTGTGCTTCATCAACGTCTCTTATACAAGCTCAGCCGTATAGGGGTAAGGGGCAACCTTGATCGAAAACTTCTTGACTAGTCGTACCCAGACCGTATGTCTTGGCGAACAGCTGTCGGCGGAGGTAGCGGTTGAGAGCGGGGTTCCCCGAGGTACCATTCTTGGCCCTATCCTCTTCCTTTTATGTATTGATGACTGCATAAGCGGAATTGATTGCGAAATCGTAATGTTTGCGGATAAACTAACACTTTGGAAGGTCATACGCAACGAAGACGAGGAGTTAAATCTCCAGGCAAATTTGCATCGACTGGAGCAACGGTCGAACCTTTGGCTCATGCCATTCAGTGTGGCCAAATGCAACTTAATGCGATTCGGTCGAACCAGCACTGCGCCTCGGAGGGTGTATTACCTGAATCACACGCCGCTACCAGACGTAGAGGCTCAGAAGGATCTGGGGGTGTGGTTCACGCCTTCATTGAAGCCATCATTCCACTGCCTGAAGGTGGCTAAATTCGCAGTGTCGAGCTTGTATCTAATCAAGCGCGCCTCTGCTAAGTTTGATAACACTGTATTTGGCAAGGTCTTCGGCACGTTCGTGCGACCCCACCTGGAATTTACTATCCAAGCCTGAAGACCTTGGACAGTCAAAGACCGAAAAACTCTCAAAAGAGTACAAAGACGCGCAACAAAATTAGAACGAGGCCAATGGAACCTCCCCCATGAGACCCGCTTGATAAATCTTGACTTGTTCCCTCTGGATTACAGGCAGCTACGCCGGGACCTAATCCAGGCATTTCGCATGCCGCGTGGTCAGGATCGTTGCCTCGAAACAAATGAATTCTTTGAGTAGGCCACCACCTCAAGGCTGCGAGTGCACCCTCTCCAATTACGTGTGACTGGTGCAAGACTTGACCCAACAAAATTCTTTTTCTCTAAGAGAGTAATTCTGGCATGGAATGCCCTTCCTGCGGACATTGTCTGTCGTCATCCGTGGACACCTTTACGACAAAGCCTGACCAGCACCGCCTTACATGCCACTATGGCAACTGAGTTCTCCGAAACCAAACACTGAAATCCTATAATTATATGCACTAATAGTAATTTTTAAGTAACATTACTATTATTTACTCAAAATATGTTTTAAGTCGTACTTAGCCTATCCGACGTCTCTGCTTACTATGCGAACTGCGCTGATCGCGTCTGCAGTCGCATCTACCGCACCTG